AGTCGATATCTGGAGGTATTGTTAGTAAAACGTTTCACAGATCTTTTCTAAGGTCTACTAAACAGTGGAATGTAAAAGCTTTCTTGATTAGAATGTTGATTGGTTCAAATGCAATAAAAATGTTTTTGGTTATAAACAACGGGCAAACTTGAATTGTTTAGCTTACCCTGGTCCTGGCTATATGTTTGCCCAACTAGTGCTCACGTCTAACTTCTAAATCGCGATTTCGAATTTGAATGCCAACTATGACGTCAACGATTCAATGATTATAATAGATCAAGGAACATGTTGTAACACTGACACACTCTAGAGAAGGATGCCTATACTAAGTCATCGCACAAGCCTAAAAATAAATCTCCTTTTGGGGTTTATAACAATCCTTCCAATTATTGTGATATTGTTGTTATCAACATTTACTTTAAAGTTAGCTTTTGGCAAACTTTCCGCCCAACGTACACTTGTTTGTTATGTTTTACTCCTTCGAAGACTAGGACTAGGTCTGCTATACTGGAAACTGGTCCTTCCGTAAGAGTTATTCCGGGTGTGTATTTAAAGTAAATAAAACATTTTCTATCTGCTTTCTATCGCTCATTCATTTTTATACCAATAATTTCATATTATTCTGCTCATTCACTTTTATCCCATTAAATTCGCATTCACTAGTTGAGATTTTTGTCCTTAGCTGTGTGTGTTCATTTATAAATTCTATCCTATTAACCCTCGGGATAAGTGATTGTACAAAAGTTTTACTGTTTTTTTTTTCACACAAAAATTGCGGACAACAGACAAATGTAAAACTCAGCATATCATCATAAAAATGTAAATACGTATCTAATTTACAATTTAATACATTTTTACTTTTCCCTGTCGCTTCATTATTTGCCTAGATTAACAGAGGATTCACATCTATATATAAAAGAAACAAAAGCTTCTAAATATTGTTCGTGCTTAGAATGCGTTACAGTATGAGGAGAAAAAATAAGAAAAATTTTTTATTAGCAAAGTTTGCCAGTTTGTATTACATTCGTCTTTTACACAACAGTTTTAAAAAGTTTCCCAGCATAAACCACGGGAATTTTTTTTCTCTTCTCTTTACAATTAATGGAGTAACACGGAACAAAATGTAACCTAAAGACAAACAATGGTGGGTTTTGCGTTTACCCTGTATTTCTGAAAAAAGTATTTATATTTATACACATATACACGCGTTTACGTATAACGTAGATAAGAATAAATTTTTACTGCTGTATATAAATGCAAAAAAACATAGCACAATCATGAAAAGATTAAAAAAGTTTTAACTAATATACACTTCCAAGATCATTAAGACATAGTTACATTATCATTCATGCGAATTATTTGCAAAAATCTCAGACAACCCTTGTACAAGACGAAGGCTAAAAGCGAACTAACACATTTGTGAATGCAAGAAGGCTTTTAAACATTCATCGCATACTTAGGGAATACAGCTAATACAAAAAATTAGGCTAATGATGTTTCTAATGAAGAGTACGTTTTGAAATGGAGTGAAGTGAAGTTTTCCCCTCTTACATCACAAATCTATTACAAAGATTAAACAAAAACCACGATTTCATCACATCAAAGATTATAAAAAGGCTCTCGCAACCTCTTCCATGTCTAATGTACATTTAACAGAAATCTATAGATTGCTGGCGTTTCCGAATCTATCTCTTTTTTCGACTTGTTGCCATTCCCTGTCTGTTAAGTACCCGAATAAGATCAAAGCACAAGCCAGAATTTTTCAAAAACCGAAACCGTTGATTTAATCAAACACGTCGTTCGACATCATCTTCAACGTTCTTTAAAGAAATGCCTAACAAATTTAAGGCTTTGTCAATTACCGATTACTTGAATGTGTCCCTATGGGGGTTTTTATGATTACCAGTAGGTCTATAAACAAAATTAACTTCTGATAATGTCGATAAATATAAACTTAAAAAATCAAATTCAGTCGAATACATCTTGTTCGCCTTATTTAATATAAGTACTTTTGTGGCATAAGTTTTTTTTTATGTTCAGGTAATGTTCTTTACTCGTTCAATACAGTGACTGCCGGCAAGAAGGGACAAAAGAGGAAGAAATCGTTAGGAAGTGGTTGCAGCCTAACGAGCACCCCACTATAGCTATGATCACACCTACTGCACTTGAGATTTTAATCCCCCAACACCGTTCTGACAGTCACGATTCTTATGTACTCGGCTGCTCAGGCAGGGACCTGTCGAGACAAGCGTACTTTCAAACAGATAAAATATTCTAAAATTGGTTCGTTGAATGGCTCTAGAAATTCCTTTTTATACCGTACACCACTTGTGGAACAAAAGCAAAGAACGCTTGTATAGATGTATGCAACTTCCAGAAGGACCTGAAGTAGACCTACATTTTATAATATCGATTGATTCAGTGTCAAATTCCGAGTCGGTGTAAGCTTATCCGTCTGTCTGTCCCTGTTGTTTTCTGGTCTGTAACGTGCAGTCCGCAATTTTCAAGATATTATAATGGAAGTTGGTACGCCGACATGTTCACTGTCGGCGTAACACAGCTGTGTTAAACGAAAAGGTGTAGGGTATTTAATGGTGGACCCTGCCTTGTCATAGGCGTTTTACTTGCTTCGCTTTATACAGTTCTCTGCTAAAAATGAAAAGTAATTAAATTTCTAGTATTCGCTTTTTCTGATTTCCAAAATTTCGACGACAGGCGGATGGACGGTCATGTCTAATTTCCTTAGAGCTTATGCACAATAATATGTCGAATATGTCTGCACATAAAAAACGAAAATTATGGTTTCATTCACCCCCGGAACAACAATTGGATGATGTCTGCCGCATTTATACGCGCGCATATTTTGTGACCACATACGTAAACAGCATATATAACACACATAATATTTGCATGAAAAACACGATTAATATTATTTTTAATATTATTAGCACTTGTTAGCGGTTTGGTTTTGTTCTACATGTGTACTAGCTTACCATTTGATATGTTTTTTCTTTTCGACTCGCAACGACTAATGACTTCACCGACTTTTGGCAACCTCTGCATTGATATAAAGCTGCCCATAAAACTTTTCCCATAAATCAGAAGGAGTCTAAGTGCGTAAGTGTTCATCAGTAAAGTCAAGCTTCAAAAGCCTTGAAGGAGCCGATCTTCTGGAGCAACTGATCTACGCTACCTTTGCTCGAGGGAGAGAGTAAATGGAAAATAAAAGTGTTCTTGCTATGACTTCATCATTCATTCATTCATTATTGTTGTTACAAGTTCGCAGCCTGTAGTATGTGAGATTTCATACGGAGACTTATTGCGCGTTACAAACGCTTGAGATGGTTACAACACTTCCCATAGTAAATGAAATTATTTCAATTACATGAAAACTCAACCTCGACCCGACAATTCAGTGTTATGTTCGGAAATATTTAAAATGGCTTTTCAATATATGTTTAAATTGCATTTTGCGGGTTATCTGCAATTTCCGCATTAGCACATAATTGCGTTTTCAATTTAATTGAAATTTATTTTGTTTGTTCTAAATACTATTAATTATTCAAAAACTTTACAAACAAATACGAAAACAGCAACACTGATACTCCTATTATGACTGTTTCTTATGTCCACTTATTGTGTCTATCGCTGACCTGCTTTTCTGTGTTCCCAAAGTCGAGAAATTTGGTTCACAAGGGTCGATGTTCTTTACGTTGAAATTATTAGTGAATATAAATAAATATCTGGTAACTAAAGTAAAGGGAATATTTTATCGAGTTGATTTGATCACTTGTAATCGATGGCATAAGTGAATCCCGAACTTAGTGGAAGTACTCGGGATAAGAGTGTTTCAAGCAGGCGCAAATATTGACATTAAATGATGGGTGACCGAATTTCGCCTTAAAACTGATTTTTTATGAAACCATACCTCAATAAATATAAATATATATTTTAACAATAATTTTAATGGCCGTAATTATTCATTACTAGTTAACGTAGCTCACACAATCACAAAAAATTATAATTAATCTTTTGATTTAATTCGCACTTTCTCCAATCGACAAAGTACTCGTGTTAATTAAAGAGAATTAAATAAATCAAATATATAAAAGGATTATCCGCTATCCGACGACATCATAGTTCCATAATTGCCTTTTTAAATAATTAATATGTATAAAGATTAAATTTTTAGGGATCCTACAACGAAAAGTTCACAATATCATGGGGATAAATATTATTTGCAGCGCAATTGAACGAAAATCATAAGATAACTTCAACGAAAAGCCACTTTTGCACATGCACACACACACACGCACAGGCGCAGACTTGCTCTTATCTATTATTTAGAGTTACTTGTTAAACTCTTCTTCTTAACGAATACAAATATGCAACCGTCATTCCAAAAGTAACAATTCCGATCCGCGTATACAGCCGATCCCACTAATTAATGTGTTTTCTTTTAGAAAATCTTAGACTTGTCTAGTTTGGCTAGAGCCAAGTATACATAGCAAGGCAATTACCCTGCCTATCTAATTATGTAATAAGAAATCGAATTCGAATTTGGCGCATTTTCATGGCCCGAGGCTACCAAACAATAAACGCGCTTACGACAGCCAGCAGCGTAGAGAAAATTTTGTTTTTAAGTTGATCGATGGTTTTCGTTTATCCTACGGTTTGGGTGTATCCATAATTAACCCGAAATTTAATGATTTATACAAATTTTCTTTGTGTAGTGGATATTCGTAATTCAGCGCAAGGCCGCTTTTCCATTAAAATGTACTAACAGTATTCGAACTACGCTAAATATAGAAAACGGAATTCATATGCAAAATTATTTTAGAGATTTCTGATAAAGTGCATTCAATACATTCATTTATTGAAAATATTATCTCCATTGAATTTATTTTACAGAATTTTAGAAAATTTCATATCGATGAATAAAACACAAAACAAAATAATATGAATATGTATATACATAAACGTCTATTAGCTTAATGGAAAATGAAAGAAAAAGAAGATATTTGAGAAAAATAATAATTAATCGATAATTAGTTTTCCTCAAGTGTGCTACAGTCTAGATCTAAAGTACAGTCTCATCTGTAGGAATTATTCAACAGTTACAGATTTCGCTAAGTTACGCGGGCAATCGACATCGCAACCGCGCAATACTGCTATGTGATAAGATAAAAGCTGCATTGGAATAACGGTCAGAATGCCTTGAAGGCAATCGACTGTTCGTGGAATCTCAAGGCTGCGCGAAGAAAATGATTTTGTTTCTACATCGCCTTCTTCGCAAATTATAATAGGACAACCCTTCCGCGAAGTGACCTGCTGCAGGGCATTCATGCACTTCACATACACTGGATCACGCAATACAATCATCAGCACGGGCATAGAGTCATCGACTAACGCCAAAGGGCCATGCTTTAATTCACCAGCCATAATACCTTCACTGTGCATATAAGTTAACTCTTTGACTTTCTGTCAAAATTTGATAAGGAAAACATTAAATATTTAGCAGTGCGCTCGAAATATATTCGCACTTACCAAAGCACCTTCTAAGCAGGTGGCGAAGTTATACCCGCGACCCATTATTAAAAGCGATTTATGCTGATATAAATCTTTTGCCAATTCCTGAACTTTTGGATCTAACTTCAGGACATCGCGAATTTGGTCCGCCAGGTTAGATAGCGCGTGAATAATTTCGAGACGTCTTTGCTGCAGGGACAAGCGATCTTCTGACATAACCAACGCGAACATAACCAACGATATAAATTGTGATGTGTAAGCTTTAGTAGAAGCGACACCAATCTCGGGCCCAGCGTTAATGTGTACCCCGCAATGCGATTCGCGGCATATGCTACTTCCGACTGTATTGGTAATGCCAACAATTAAAGCGCCCCGTTGCTTACAATAACGCAGTGCCATCAAGCTGTCGGCCGTCTCGCCAGATTGGGAGATAAAAAAGCAAACATCGTCTCGAAAAATGGGCGTGTTACGATCCAGAAAATCAGAAGCTAATTCTACCATTACGGGTAATTCCGTAAGCTCTTCAAGCAACTGACGAGTCGCCACTGCACTATGATACGAAGTGCCGCAACCGATCAACATTAAACGGCGGCAACGTTTAATTTCAGGTATGTAGTCCTTTATGCCGCCCAAAACCACAGTCTTAGAGTTGAAACGTACTCGGCCACGCATCGTATTCACCACAGACTCAGGCTGTTCAAAAATTTCCTTCAACATAAAGTAATCATAGTTGCCTTTCATTATCTGCTGAATTTCCATTTTTAAGGTTGTGATTTCTCGAGCATGTGGATCGTCGGTGCACTTTCGTAAGCGATGAATGCTCAGTGCTCCATCGCGCACTGCAGCTACGTCATCATCCTATCGTCCACGAAGGACAATAAATAAGTATAATTAAATGAATGTTACTGACAAAAGGATTATCTTTTAAGATAAACTGAGTTGGAAAAATATCTTTAGAGGATTGTGGATGATACTAATCCTTTTCTTCGTCCTTAAATTAACATTTACCTCAAGGTATATAACCCGATTTGTATGCTCGATGACAGCCGAAGCATCGGAGGCAAAGAAATACTCGACTTCCCTTTCTTCCAGCGGCATAAACTCCGAAGTACTTTCGGAACGAGGCAACACTGATAAATCATGATTATGTCCATGAGGACGATGTTCTTTTCAGTTAATATTTCGTTCACATTCAAGCAATTGTTTGTTGTCACAGTTTTGATGAATACATATTTCGAATTTTGTCCACAGCCCCGCAATAAGGATGTTGATGATATATAAATGATAATGATGATGGCGGTGACGATGACGATGGTGTTCATAACGACAATAATAATAAGCAAATAAGCCAACAATTTTAGACAATTGCATGTTTGTTGTTCTCATATATGCATGTAATTATATGTGTACTATATATAAACATATGTTTTGTTTATTTCTCATTTAGCATTTGATCCATTATAGTGCGCGCATTACGCCAATTGATACAACATAAAAAACAAAATGCGATAAATGCGCTGCGATTATTGTCGGTTTGGCCATAGTGCAATCAGAGATATGTATATTCAATGATCCATTTGATAATCAAATTAAAATGATAAATTGACATACACATACACATAAAATGAATTTCTTTTTTTTCCATTTTTTTTCACTATAAATATTTTGTTATTTAAAATTAATTTATTAGTATGTAAATAAATATATAATAAAACCAATCCGATTTAAACGCTTGCTTAGCAACATATTGTTTCCATTAGTGAGTTGAATAAATTGTGAAAATTAATGGCGTTAGAGTAATGATTAGTTGTGCAAAAAGCCTGCGTAGTAATAATATCTTCTATAGTAAAAAATATAACATCAGTTCTTGTAACGAAAAAAAAAAAAAACATACGAAAGTAATGCTTTCATAAAATGCACATCCATGCACATGCCCACCAATGGAAATGCGGGTGGAAGACCAAAATGCTTTCGATTTTTCATTAAGTTGAACAAATTTGTTGCAATATTTGCGGTACACACTGTTGCTATCTAAAGCACTGCAAAAAAGTCCATGCATCAGTTTAAATGACCCACAACTATAACATGCATAAAAGCAACAATTTCAATAAACCAGCAGAGCATTTAAACACATGCTTACATTTATTTTTGTATTTGTACACACTTCTATCTCTCAGTGGATATGCGCTCTTCCCGAGAGCTGTATTGGCCCTGTCTCTGAATGCAGAAAGTATGTGTAATGAAACATTGTGTAAACAAATTTTTTTCGAACTTTTTCAATTTTCCTGATTTCCTATTCTAAGCCCAAAAACAAGCGAAATCGATGCAAATATTTGCGTATACTTTTCAAAAATCTATATAGACCTCTGCGCTTTACTAATTCATCGCTTATGTATTCCTGCTCAGTTGCGTAGATAATATAGCTTTGAACTACGTACGATATAGCGGTTATTTTATAGGGTACAATGTGAGTCGATTTTTTCGTCTTCAAGTACATGTACTTCATGAGATCTCTGTGCTTACGAACTTTATACAAATCTAGTAATCCCTTGTATGGCAGCTTCTTGGGCAAGTTACAGTGGCATCCAATTTCCCATGAAGAAGACCTTTTCCAAAGTAGCTGATGTTTACCGAACGTGTTATGTTCCAAGAAAATAATAGGCTTATAATTTTTTAAAGCTCCCGGTAATGTTCTCTATTACACCGGGTATTAATAAATTTTCGCACGAAAAACTCCATAATCACAAAACACAAGAGACCATTTTCGAAAAGAGACTGCAACTAATCACAATTTGTATAATATATGTAAGACGGTGTTGCACACTTACAGTTTGACACAACACAACAACGAAAAACTTAAAGTATGCGCATAAATTATATTTCTTGATTATTTGCGAAATTTTCAATGTTACATACATAAGTGTAAGAGAACTAAATTCAAAATTATCCCATGTACAATTTCATCTTGCGCTCCATTTCGAAGGAATTTCTTATCGATTAAAATTTCCTATGGTTGTGTTTTCCAAATCTTTCTCTTCGGACTTTCCCTATAACATCTGTACTCTGCAGCAGATGAAACTTTAGTCATCTGTGACTTGTGTTTTGCTTTTTTATATGCACAAGTTTACCTTCTCGATATTAAATAGATAACGCAAGGCTTGCTACACCTTCCAGCGAGGCTATTACGTACGTGATTTCATTTTTGCGGAAACAGAATCAACTAATAAAGGATAAAGGACGTAATTGCAGTAATGAAGCGATGGGATTAAGTACAAAAAGTAAAAATGATTAATTATAAATGAGGAAAATGAATTAAGAAATAGGATTGGGATGCCACAATAATAGGTTGTAATTAAATTGTCGTAGTTAATTCGTAGAGACTCTCGCTGTGGGAGTATTGTGCATATTGCGTTTCTCAAATCGATTTATATCTTTGATAAGCTCAAATAACGAGATTTCCTTTGTGATGCTTATCTATTTACTTATCGTTCTTTTTCGCAATTACAATTATACTCTGATAAATGTTAATCGTTAATCGTTGCTATTTATACACTCTACCACCTGCGGCAAGAGTGTATTAAGTTTGTGCGGTTATATACAACGCCCAGAAGGATTTGAGATAGACCCACCTTTTATTTTGTCGATCGATTCAGAATCGTTTTTTTAAAACGATCTAAGCTTGTCTGTCCGTCTATCCGTGATGAGTACAGAAAAAAGCTTAATTTATAGTTTTTTATGACGCAAACTGAGAGATAATAAAAAATTTTTAGGAAATAAATTAAGTTTGTTGGATCACGTCATGTGATCTTTTGGGCATGCCTCTGTAGGTGGGTTTTCATGAATAGTATACCTTTGCATGAAAACAATGTGTAGGGTATCTAACAGTCGGACTTGCTTGTTTGGTTTATATTTTGTGGGTTAACAAAGCACTGGAATGTAGCAGCGGCTTAATAGTGTTCGCTTGCCGTTACTTAGTTGTATCTTTTCTTAACACCTCTTTTATTAATTCAATTAAAATGCCTATGCCGTGGTGTCAGATAAACTAAGTACATGTTATTAGTTGGCTGGCATAGTAGGGCTTTTCTAAATCCTGTGTGCAGGGTGTGGCCGCTCCGAATGTGGATTACGATTATTTTCGGCACAGTTAAGTGTTTCAGGAAACCCGCCACTTTTAACTTTCCCTACGAAAGACTACTATTGGTTGACATTTTAGCCTCATTGTGAAAAAAACAAGAAAACCAAATATTCTCAGTTAATTTGTTTCTTAATCCAAAGAACCTTCACTTTAATCATCGTAAGCTACTCGTCATTCTTTTTTAATGATGTTTTTCAGTTAGCAGTAGTAGTAATAGTTATTTATTTGTATCAGGCCGCCAAGTCTCTGCTACGCTATTTATGACCCATATTTATGCTCTTAAAATAATATCTAAAACACAATTACATCCGCTTAAGTTGATTACTTTTAGTGTTTATAGCATATCTAAACATAAATTTCGGTTCCGTGCAGATTATGCAATAATTAAGAGCATTATCAACATTTAAACAGTTTGAATTCCATAATTCTCTCCGTAAATTGCAAAACTTTTTGCGACCAGTTTTCGTGTAACAAAATGGGGCCAAACAATACGAATAAAATTTATTGCTTTTGAAATATCTTTAAAGTAAATATAAATGTCAATGTGTATGGGTAAACAGGCAGAGGATTGAGCAGAAAGATTAGATAGCCTAGGAACTTAATATCCATATATTCTTTTTAATTGAAATTTATATACACAAACTGGCTCTCTGTCCTACACCAGGCTTACTTTATATATTAAATCGCTTAAATGTCCACCTGTCCCGATTCAATGTATTCGATTTTTCATTTCGGAAATTATTTTAATAAATAAATTTTTCGTTAGCCTCATTAATCGAAATGTTATTAACAAGTGCGTCGTTTTACCAGAGCTTAGGTATGCATGTGTAAATCGCTGTGCAATTGTTTGTGGTTTTTAAATGTTTACAATATCTGTGTGTGCGTGTGTGCGTGTGTGCGTGTGTGCTTCCCTATCACCATTACCAACGCATAGGAGTAAAGTAAAGTTTATGTATACATAACTCTTAACAAGATTGAACAAAAACAGATATATGCATCTATTTTATGATAATTGATTATTACCTTGTGGTTTACCTGGTTCGTTGTCTTTATAAACGTTTAAAGATTTGAAAAGGAAAATTGTGTAAAAAGAAGAAAAAGATAAGAAAACGGAAAAAATTTTAAATCACTGAAACCAAACAGAATATGATATGATATGTTGCCCTATCGAAATCTACCTCCTTCACCAAAATGACATAAAGAGAATATATTGACGACAGCGATTATTGAATTCTCTGAGTTTTTCAATCAAAGCCGAATGGATGTAAAGTAAAGAATTATAATTAAATCTCTTAAATTACATTATATAATATGTAAGTATCTAGCCAGTCACCTGCTTATTAAACGTTCTAGATTTTTTATTATTTACAATTTTTCATTAACTTTTCACCGCACGCAGTATATAAAAAGTTTGTCGAACCTTACGATAAATTCAAGCATGTCCTCCGAAACTCCACGTAAAGGGGTAAACCGGACTTAAATCTTAGTACTCTACACCACATGTGATACAAGGGCTTCTTAAGTTTGTGTGTATATATGATACGCTCAGACAAACGTGAGAAAAACCCAATACTGATCAATTCAGAATCACTCTCCGTTCGTGTGTCCTACCTGTTTTCTGATGTACAACGTGCAGCTCGCAATTTTCGAGATATTGGTACGTTGTCGCGTTTTGGCTCAAACGTATAAGGCCTACGGTATTTAATGTGGGCGATATATCACAGTAACGTTCAATCTGTCTTTTTGTATTATTGTCACAAAGTTTAGTTCGAAATTCAATACAACAAAACTCTATTGCTTGCCAAAACACATGTCTTTCGTATCGGCATTCATTCCCGAGTTTTTGTCTACAAAGATCTTGCAATTTCAAAATTGTATAGCTCGAGTAAACGACCCGCCTTAACTAGCTTTTATTTGTAAAAGAAAATAAAAAGCTACATATTTTAGATGGGGTATACTATGTTGTTGTAAATGAACTACTGACATATGCTTTTGGAATCCCTTGGTAAACTGTGAGCAGAAGGAAAATACAATTTTCGTTTTATCTTGTTATTGTCACACTTATACATTATATATATTTGTATATATGTTATTTACCAATGAGCAACGAAATATGTGATATCATAATCAAGATTTGTTAAAGATTAAAAAGAGCAAAAAAAAAAACAAAAAAAGAAACAGAAAACCAAGCCCCTGTTCAATTTCATGAATATGTATGTATGCTAAAAATGAAAAGCCCAATAGCTATTGTCTTTGTTATTAGTTAGCAAGCATGCAGTTATGGTAAGTAGTTGAAGAACAAAAAATGCAATTAAAGGTAAAAAGTCGGGGTTCAGTAAATATTCGTAAGATATGTAGAAAAAACTACCTGTTTCAGTTTGTTGTTTTTTTTCGTCTGAACGAACAAAACTCCAACGTATTGTGTTGGAAGGAATATTTTTATAAGTTGTACGATTGCAGATAGTATAGTGTATTGATAGGAGACAATTTGCAGGTGGGTGGTTAAACACACGGCACATAAATGCACACAAATGTAAGTGAAGTGGTAGCATTCATAACAGCAACGACAAAAATAGTAGTAGTAGCAGTAATAGTAGAAGTAGTAGTAGTAGTAGAAATAATGGTTGTAGAGGTAGTAACAATATAAGAAAAGAAGAAAGAAAACTCATCATGTTGGCAAGTAAATTAAGTGAGTGAATGATTGAGTATTAAGCACACAATCATTTTCGCGGAACATTAAGCACAGTTTTGTAGTGCAATTTGTTCATGTTATATACACACGTGCAGGAAATGCGCGCAGTTGCGTCGGTAGAGAAAGGCATACAGAGTTCAGGAAAGAAGGCAGGAAAGAAAAAACAAAAATAAGATAAATAAAAGGATATAAACGCAAACATTCACATTTGAGCATATTTTGACTTCATTGGCAATAAGGTAACAGATACCATTAACGCATATACTGACACCAATTCATGTATATATATATACATATATATATACAGATATATATATATATATATATATATATATACATATATAGTCAAGAGTATAGAAGTTATGACAGGATATTGCTCACCCTTTCCATACAATATCGGTATATGGTCGGTAGCTAGACGCTTCTTAGTCTTAATGCCAACCAAAAGCGGCGATCCACGTCTTGAGGCAACACATTCCCCTGGGAAATGCTTGGATTTTATAGCAATAGCAAAGGCACCTTCCTGTTAACATCACTATTGAGTACGACGATTGCAATAAGTAATACAAAACTTACCAATTGTTGTATAGCCTGCTCTACTAACTCTCTGAAAGAATAACCAGGGTGTTTCTTCCACAAATGATGCACCAATTTAGCAATTACTTCGGTATCGGTATCCGATTCGAATTCGTAATTGCGTTTCTCTAGAAAAGTCTTGACATCTTTGTAATTTGTAATAATGCCATTATGCACCACGACAAAACTATTGCAATTATCGGAGCGTTGCGGATGTGAATTCAATTCACATGGTATACCATGGGTAGCCCAACGTGTATGTGCAATGCCCACATGTATGTTCACAGATTCCTCATATTCTTTGCCGCTAAAGTCTAAATTATAATAAAAATTAATGAGTTATTATTGTCAGGTAATACTAAAAGCATAGAAAATCAACTCACTGTTAATTATTGCGTCCTCTAGCATCTTTACTTTACCGACGCTTTTAACCATTACAATGTCTTTGCCGTTAGACGAATCAATTGCCACACCAGTTGAATCATAGCCACGATATTCCAAGCGTTTTAAGCCCTTCACTAACAAGTCCAAAACTTCGGACCGTGATTTTGGCGTCAAATAATTAAGGTAAGCGAAAATTCCTGCAAGCGTAGAAAATGTACGTTCAATGCATGTAGTCCTTGAATTGTCTAATAATTTAAAAATAAGCAAAGAAACAGACTGCAGTGGACCATCGCCCACCAACAAGTACCCTACTTCAGCCAGCACACATTTATATAACGAGTGTTCAAATTAGCACGTAATCGAAAATTTGGTCCAAATCGAACTATTTTCATTAGAGTTTGTCCTCGGGCCAAAACACGTCAGTGTACCCAACGTCATCAAAGAAACTGCGACCTGTACGTTGTATACCAAGAAACAAGATGGACAGACGGACGGATGGGTCAGTTCAAATTGCGATTCTTAATCGCTCGCTATAATACAAAATGGGTCCGCAAAAACTTAGTATACTCTCTGGCATAAGTGGCGTATAATTTTCAAGTGAAACCTCTTTGCCTACAAGTGAAGCAGTTCGAAGCGTCAACGCAGTACTGCTGATCCGTGCGTGCTTTCGACATAAGGAGCAGCAGGGCATTGTTTCACACCTCAAAGAACGTATTCTGGCCCTATACATTCTCATACGCCAGTGAAGCTAGCTAGTTCAACAGAGAGCGCGAGAGGGGTAGATTCATCCGCTCCTCAGTAAAGTCTTATGATAAGCAACGGTTCGATAATATGAGCGTAGATATGAAACAATGACTTTTTTCTATTTGGCACTTGAATGTCAAGACGTCACCATTTATGCTTAACGGCAGGCATTCCAGCGCTTGCTCACATGACCTCGGCAAAAACATATCGTTAAGAGTGTGTGTATGGATTCGTGTGAAACATTTTTTTTGACATCAGTGCGACATAACAAAACTCACTGACTTACCCCTTGACGTGCATTCACTTGAGCGCTTTAAGCAGAGGGTCTTTCGGAAGTTTGTAAAAAGTTTCCAGTAGTGTTTTATTTTTATTTACGGATACTATCGGCGAAATAAAATCTCATCTTAAAAAATGTACAAACTTTTATTTGCCACGTTGGCCGTTTTGCGACATTCGTGCAAGAATATTTTTAACTCATTTAATCGTAATTTTTTATGTTTATTTCTCTCATAATTGTTGCTGTGTTTTTATTTTTCCCGTTGAACATTTTCTTTTAAAATCGTTGTTGTTATTGTTGTTGCTAGTTAAGTTTAACTATCTTGAAGAAAACACTTTTTTTACACTCATAGCTCTCGTTAAAAACCTCCTGAACGGAATTAGAGACTAAAGCGTCCTGAACTAAGGTTGAACAGCAGACGTCGTCGAACTACAAGCAGACGCTCCCAACACATCCAGTGAGTTAAACGCAGCTATACAAGATTGCAATTTTCTTGATGGATTTTAGTGTTTGACAGCATCCGAAAAAGTTTTTCGATGAAAAGCAGGTGAAAAGACAGCATATATCCAATTGCCGGCGAATTCTTCTTTTTGTAATGCCATGCGACATAAATATAAATGTACATATCTCTAACGTCACCTTCGTTGTTTAGTTCCGTTTCCACGAAATTTTTCGACTTTTCCTCGTAAGTAAAAGTCACGTCAACCTTTTCGAGCTGATTTGTCACTTTTGCAGAGTGCAGTAATAGTTGAAGGTAAGCAGGCAATCTCACGTTAAGAGCGATATGTGTTTTTCTTGAAGCAGTTGGCTGACGTTTATTTCAAAGATTTATAAATGAAAATGAACGGCAGAGGAAAGCTTGTTAAAGGAATTACTAAATAAATTATTAAATCGGTCGCAATATTTCAAAAACTCTGTTGACTGAATTTGAAGAGCAAGTAAACTTATCTGCAGAAGCAAAAAAAAATAAATGCACTATCGATTTATTTTACTTTCAAGCATTTCATACAATTTTAAACCTTAAACTAAATCATTACAATAGTATGCTGGACACCAAAAAAAAAAGAAGAGAACTGAAAATGAAATGGAACAAAACGAAAAACATTATCCAAATGACTTGCGAACAATAATAATTCCAAATTGGTTTGCAATCAGTGCTATTTTTTAACAAATTTTTTTTCTCTGCCGTATTGTTCTGCATATTTTTTTAAGTAGATGCAATCTCTTCGATGGCCCCGCATTTGTATAAAATGAACAAAAAGCGAACGTCAGGAGATAAAAATACATTTTAACAGATTCCGTTTGTGCACAACTCAAGTGAATTCTATGCTTAGGCACCGTTATTAATGCGCAACTGACAATAGTTATTCAAATAAGTTATTCAAAGACTAGCTATCAACTGCGTCTAAACATTCCTTTTAATACACTTGTATTATTATTATCAACCGAGTTAGTTAATAGAAATATTAGGCTTGGAGAAAACCTCCTCTGTTTATGGTTTCACGAGAACAGAGTTTTTCTCTTATTAACCAATAGGCACTAAGCATTGATCAACGATCAACGGAAGGTAGTTTAGATATAAACCAAACTGATTCCGCGCAATACCAGAAAATATTACGTGTTGCGTAAGAAACGGTTTTTTTCATCACTGACCACAGCTTCTCCAAAATTGATAGAAACTGGTCGCGATTTACGTGTTCTCGACTCCTTGTATAAAGCGCAAATGCGAACTGCATGCTCGATTACTACACGTCCGACTTTATTAAGTTTTTTATTCAGTCTTTTGTCGGCGGCAATAGAAAATCATTTTTCAACAGACTGAGGATTATTTGAAACGCAGAACATTTTCTTATATCTTCAATTCGTAATATTGCATTATTTTATGATAACTCCGTTCTTTATGCTATGTAAGCATTATTTCGATAAATAAGCAGAAAATATTTTTCAGACCAGAGCAAACTTTTTACACAAGTATACATAAAAATGTCATAAGAGCAATTTAGTTGCGCATAATCAAAAATAAGTCAGAGATTTTTGACATTTAAATCTTGATGTTCAGTTGTAAGCTTATATACGTTTACTACATGAATTTAAAAAGTTTTTTCGTAAGAAAAAAAAAGTAACACAACACATAACCAACTATAGCATTCAATAACACACAAAACCAGGTAATTTTTGTTTATGATAAGGCATAAGACCACAAACCCTGAAAATGGCACACAATCGAGCCGAAAACCTTTCGTACTCGAACCATCTCTCTACATTTACATTCAGTGCAAACAATTGAACGGACCAACAAATACACCGATAAACGAGTAAGATGTAAACGTGCTTAGAAGTTAGAAAAAAAAAACAAAAAAAGAAGAAAAAATTGAAAAAAAAAAAACAAAACTCATTTTAAAGAAATCTAGTAATTGTGACACAAATGCTGGGCTGGTGGCATGGGCTGGTGACAACACCCACACCCACACCCACACCCACCCAAACGAATAGCGAAAACCACAATCAGGTTTTGTTAACTTTTTCTTTTCGTATGATTTCTTATGTTGATTAACTCACAAACATGGAATTACAGGTTTTGAGCTTTTACGAAATTCATGTCGTACACTTTTAATTCGACATTTATTCGAAGTAACAACATGAGCAGAACATTTTGGTTGTCGCTGCTACGGCCGAGACATGCAGCTGCAGCTAAGATAACAGCACCACGGCAAATATATTTTTTCTCAAATGTTTGTAACGCATAATATATATATATATATATATATAAAAGTGAATAAGCGAATTATGCCATGTCCACTCGTCTCACAATCTCCCTGTTTTTGTATATTTCGAAAATCAATTAAATTCACCGAAAATGTGATAATAAGAAGTCTTTGGTCCTCATGTCTTTATAATAGAGTTTGCATTGCTCTATTACATTACTGCAAGCGCCGTCATACCGATAGTTTACATCGAGTGCAATGGGCGTCTATTTGTATGCCACTAATTTATTTAAGATATTTATCGATTTCGTGTATACCTAAAGCGTACTTCTTTTTTCTGTTTACCGTTGGTTGTGTAGGTCTCAAAAATTCTGCGCGAACTGAATGTAATTTCTTCCTTGTTTTCATTTGCACGCACGTGCATACGTACTTATATAAACGTCCGTGAGCACAGAGAAGACAAAATTGATTATATACCCATTTCAATTGTAAATGTGTAAACGTGCCAACGATAAGAATTAACAAATATCGGCATTGCATACATAGAGGAAAACTATTTACAGTAATGAAGCACTGAATAATCAATTCTCCAAAGTATTAAATGAATTAAAAATTTATGATATGGCTTGAAAAAAATGCAAAGAGGGCGAGTGAGTAGTGAGTAGTTTATCATCCAAGTTGGCTTATTTTACAAATTGAAGGAAAACGTCTTACTTTTCATGATGACCGCCGTAGATGTTTGCATCCATTGAACCAATCCTCATCATAATTTTTTAAAATATAAACATTTTCTTGAAGGGTTTACCATTTATGAGAAATATTAAATAGAGTGCGGTCCGAGTAGAGACGACAAACAAATTTTCATCATAACACATTAACAATTAGAGCTTTTTGTCATATAAGAGCTTATATTGTCTGGGAAGCCCTATGTAGAGTGGACATGAACAGACAGACTGACGGACAGACAAACTTAGAAATTCAGAAAATTATTCTGAATCGATCGGCATACAAAAGGGTTGATCTATCTCAAGCCTTTCTGGATGCTACGTATGTCCGCATATATTCAAGGCGTAAGGTATAGAGAAACATATAAAATATCTGTTAGTAGAATTGAATTGAAAGAATTTCTAATCCTTAGTTGTGAATCTATGTTTAACTTAGCAAGGAATTCCGAATACCTCCCATAGACATATATATTTCGCACAAATTCTATTTTAAAAGCCTTGACATTCTAAGCACCTACATAAGATAATAAAGTCATAAGGTTGATTGAATCAAAGTGCGCTATATCCACCGATTTAAAGTATTTTCGTAAGATATTCCAATGATCGTTTGCCGTTATGGAAACTTGTATAAACAATACTAAAAAACTAGTATCACAATTTTCTTAATTAAATAAAAATTCATCCTAAATTAATATTATTCCCACATGCGGGATTTTTGCAACCGTACAAAATAAATGTATTATGTTGTGGAGCAACCGTTAATTATTTTTTTAAATTACTTCTAATAGCTAAAGAATTGCGGCAACCTTTGCTCTTGAATTCTTCTATAAATTTCATATTTTGTATTCATCAAATATTTTTTCCAATCCATTAACCTCGATCCGAGAGATTTGATTGCCTACGCATTGGCTCAATGTAAGATATACTTACCACACATAATAATAATTATTATGATAACGTTGTGTTGATTTTGCAGTTACTTCTCTTATGTTTGCGTATATATATATATATATATATGTATAAATTAACCACTGTGCACACACGTTGAGTGATATTTCAGTTAAATACTTCGCTGTCGTTGTTTTCTCCACAATATCTGCGAACAAAAGAAAAGTTTTTTTAAATTGAAAATCAATAATATCTATAAGCACTAATGAATGAAAAATATTATTTTATACAACTTTTTTATGCACATGTACAATAAAGAACCAACTGAGCGGTTTTCATAAAATATATGCTAGCATATGCATCTGCCTGCAATGCAGGACAAAATTTACGCCAGTTTTAAATTTTTCTCCATAAAAGCAGGAGATCCGAGAATTGTGTTCCTGAATATGGTTCGATTTCATAATGGAAACGTGTAAATGGTTTACGCTGAATACTTACGCGTTCTTACCTTTCATAAGACATATGAAACTACTAACATATAAAACTGAAATGAATGAAGAAAGGCGGAGAGGTAAAAGAAACGCATTTTTCCTGATAGTAGCGTCAACAGATTTTATTTTAAAATAATACGATTTTTTTACAAATTAATTGCAAAAATACAGCATTCGGACTAAAAAAACTGCTCATATACATGACACTATAAAGCACTTGCTTTTTTTACACTTTGTGTGTAGATTTTGTACCCAGCTTTGAATTGCTCTTAGTTTCCATTAGTGTATATTAATTTCAGTTTATGAGCTCTGGAACAAATCCTGATTACGTAAACTTCCGATATTTTTGTTTGCTGCATGCATATCAATTCAAACTCGAAAGATAGGAATATTTTCCAATTGCAAGTTGTTCAGCAAATCATCTTTATTGTGCCACTCGTGACATTCGACAAATATTACAAGAAGACTGTGCGTGCAGCGTTCAGTCGCAATAGGAATACGACATGGTCCAGTTTTCAAAAAATAGCTTGCCGAGTGTGTGTACCTGACTATCGCCAGATAGCTAGGGCCTACTTTTATAATCTTCGAAAGAAAGGTGCATCGAAACTTAAAAATTTTCCTAAACATATTTCCCACGTAAATATGTCCTCGTACGTCCTAATTTGTGGATAGAAAGCATCTCTGGTATTCGGTTACCTCTAGACTTGTAATATAGACATTTTACGTAGCAATGAATTCATTGACTTCCCTAAACACAAATGTGGAATGTTATGAGTAAACCGTAACATCAAACATTCTACTACGCAACATTTGAAGGCGCATATAATGAAGAACACATGTAACTGCTTTGTTGCGCGTATACACACTCGCACGCACATGTGCATGTATATACTTAATATATGTATATATCTATACGTACATGTATGGGTACATATATATGGTTGTACATAATTAATATCTACTTAAATGAGAACAAAACATTAACGTGGCATACATTCGAACCAGTTCTTTGTCTCTTCTACATTCTCAATAAAGTGTTTCATTTAATCACAGAAGAAACTAAACAGTACATAACATATATTTCGAAGAAGTATATAAAACGCTCAACACATGCTGTATATATAGGCTAAAACTAGGCAAGACAACCAAGTCATTAACGTGAATGCACAAATGGGAGCAATAAATATGTAAGAGTTGTAGCAAGAAAGGTATTAAGTGTTTGTCTTGAATCTAAGATCTACGATAAATGAAAATTACAGTCTTGTGATAGTTGTCAGCATGAGTATGATTTTAATAGCAAGTTTTTCCATCACCTCAATACATATATGTCGATAAAATTCGTGATCGTTTTTTTCACAAAAACTGTTAAGGAATTTTCAAATTTTCTTTTAAATTGTTTTCGCCTTGGAGCATATTGTCCAAAATTTTGTTATTCTAAATTATTTAAGTCGGCATATACAAACACATGCCGCCCAAATTGCAATATTCTATTCAAATTTTTCCGATCCTGAGAGTTCCAGGAACACGTAACATATTTTGAGATCTCTCAGACAATTTTTGAAAATAAATAACGAAAGCGAGGTGTTCGCTCAAAATTATTCATTATTGATGAGGCGAATTATGTAAATGTGCTTTTCAGCTATTGGCTTTGCGGCGCGGTAAGCTCATATAGAAATAGAATTACAAAAAACGCATACCGTATATGCGACATGGCATACGGTATATATCGAGTAAATGAATCTTCATACAAATACAGCGGCTATTCGACCAAGGGGAATATGAGTGATATATTGTTGTTTACGAAGTGAGAAGAGCGTCGTTGATGTAAACTTAAGTTGTCGATAATAACACAAAGCTGTGTGTTTCCCCGTATTTCGGGACAAAACAATTTTTTTTCGAATGTCCGTCCGACCGTAAATTTACAAAAGTACAAGAAAAGACAGCTTAGTCAATTATTGCATATGTGTATGAATGCTTTGCTTATGTTTTCCTATATCACAACAATGGCGGAAAACATTATCGTTGATTTCCCTGCAGCATGTACAAATGTATCTTTTATAATTGAACAAGTGCCAACCGCATAATTAATATTTAGCCAGCAGGAACGCATTTGCTTATTGTTCCAGTCCTAATATATGCTAAGCACACAATGATGAAAACACCAAGGAACATAAGTGCAGTTTTTGCAAGTGCTGATGATTATGAGCACAAGTGTGTGTATTTTCATCTGAACGGTTAAAATGGTATGTTCCACAACGAAACACCAATTCGAACATTGAACTCGACATTACCATTTTTTTTCCAATTCTTCCTCCCTATCTATGTCTATTCAAATACTCCAGTTGACTCACATATGTGTATGTTTACCTCAAGTGATCAAAGCTGGGTGAATGTAAGGATACTGTTAATGTTATAGAGGTTTCCTTTCAAGTCAGGTGTCATATTTTCACATGCTATCAATGCTCCACATTTGACGCTACGTAAGCACAGGCCATGATGGATGCAGAAAATATGAAATCAACTAATGAAACTCTCAGATGTTTCCTTGTAGTTTTAATGTAATAAATATTAGCGGCCAAAAGACTTCCACTTGGTCATAGATGGCGAGGACTTTTAGAAATACCTAACGAATAAGTTTGACAAGTTTGGACAGCACGTTTTGCTTGGCAGTGCGAAGAAGTGCAACGTTTTCTTGAAGTTGGCAGACGGCTTCTCGGGAGCCCGCAAAACTTTATTAACCCCCACCCCAAAACAAGTAAACATGGCGATGCTCGTAGAAGTTTCTTATGCACAACGAATGAAGAATTGCTAAACAACTAAAATTTTCTTCACTTTAAAAGCTAGAGGGGAAGGGAAAAAGTTTCTGAAATAAAATTTTAATAAAAAATTTAACATATGCAGCTCAAATTTCTCTTGTTTATTACATCGCAATCCAATTTAAAAATTTTAAAAGTTAGCGCATTTTTATTTACTCTCTATAAATAATATTCGGACAGTTGTGTAATAAATGAAAGAAAAGCATACAGTTTTGAATATGCAGTTTAGGCAAATTTTCAAACCGACTCAAATGTTAAGTAGAGCTCTCGCAAGTAATTGAATAAAGGTAAACAAACATCTCTCTGCGAGCAACATAGCGCGCGAACTTTGATAGGCAGCAATATGTGCAATCTTTTCCAAATCGTCTTATGTACAGCAGCGCGATATTGTGCAATGTGCTCGATGTTGGAACACAAGAAAATCATTAGAATAATGAAGGAAATAAGTAAGAAACTACGTTAGAGCATCGCTTATCTATTTAATTGAATAAAACGGTTAAAGTTAAGTTCAATGTCAATATTTGAAGCCATCAATTGTTAACTTGTCATCACTGCAGCGGTATGTGCTCACGTGTTCACACAAACGTTCAAATATAGCAAAGTTTGCTAAACGGAGCAAATAGTATCACTTTAAAGCGAAGGTTAACAGGAAGGGAGAAGCAATTACAGTTGAATTTCATTGAAACTATCGACCGTCGTGAATCGTCTATTGTTTACGCAGACTGTAGAGAAACTCATCTGCTTTGAGAATTATTATAACTCTACAAATTGGCAACAAGATGAACAGCAGATTGTTCAAATTGTTTCTCCTCCTTTTGTACCGATTCCAAGTAGTTTTTACGGTTTGAAAATCCATCTGTAAACATATGTGCGATTGAATGTTTACAAGTGCTAACAACAAGTCTGCTTCATCAACTATTGTACATTGAAAATGGAAAGTAAATATTTCTGCGCTCTTGAGTTTAACACTCATCTCAATTACTTTGGCTAGCCGCACAAACAAAAAGAAAACTTGAACTGAAAACAAACCGGACAATGTCTCATTAGCATAAAAAGAGATATTTGTTTTGATTGCCGATTCTGATAAATTTTTATCGATACTAGGTCATGGCCAAATATAAATTAGCCACAGCTTACAAATTTAAAAAAAATTTAAATTCAATTAAAATTAAAATCTTCTCCTTCCTTATCTACGAGCCAGCAAAGCAACAGCAGATGATTTACTGAGTTGAGTAAATGAAAATCTATTGAAAGCAATTCCTTTTGGTACATTTTGTTTAAAAATGCGCTCAGCTAGAAGTTTGTACCCTTTCACGTAAGGTCTAAGTCCACCTGTCAACAAAACCAGTCTGATTATATTTGAATGTATTTACGTTTCTTTTATTGATCTTCTTAGTTTAGAGCGATCGGACGAATGGAACACCTCTTAAAGTTAATTAATTGTTTTTCTATTCGTCAGCACCAGGAACGATGAACTTTTCATCAACCATGACCATTAAAGTAGAAATTTTTGTCGAAGGAATGAAACTATGACCAGTCGTTCATAAGCGATGATATTTGTATCAAAATTGATATTCACAAAACATAGGCATTGAAAGTGGATGAGTATAGTCGTGAAATTTACTCTCGCTGCTATGAGCAATGAGCATTAAAACTTTCTCATTAGCATATATAGCTTAATTTTACATATACGTGCGGGATCATGTATACTTCTTTTTTCTACACTTTCAACACACACAGTGGTTTATTTTTAACTTTCTTCAGATGCATTTTACACTATAACTGTATGCCTTTTATTTCACATAATGTATGTTAAACACTTGCCTTTCACTTCTTGGCTGAGTACGCTTAGCCGAGACCGCTTGATGCACGTCTTAATTAACACTGAATTCGAAAC